GATTGATGGTCGAACGTTTGGATGTTACCCACTGGTTGTCAATAACCATGACTTCCCTAAATTGACTTAGTGAGTAGTAGTTTATTTAGACTAAAATTAAAGATTATTTTGTAAACCAGTGTCCATCGCTATAATTTATCTATAGGGCTCCAAATTTCTAAACTCATATTCTGAATTTTATGCTGTTGATTTCATTCCTTCATTCATTCAATTCAATTTGCTTTTTAAGCATCATTATCTAATTCCACAACTAGCGAAAGCATCTTCTGACTAGCTACAAAATTTCAGCGCAACTGACTGGTTTGCAATCAACTACTGACTAAATATCACAAACCTGAGCTGAAGATCTCGGTTAATGCAGACAGCCAAAAGGCGAAATATGGGTCTGAGTGTGAGAGAGCCCAGGGAGACGATGACAGAACTAGAAAGATGGGTGCGAACGCCCTAATAAATGTGTTCTCCATCGTTGAATGTAGACAAATGGTAAGGTGGCTGGCTTGCATTCAGTAATGACTACGATTTCAGTCTGCGAGATTCCTTAACTACTTCAAGAAGGTGTAGCGCGACTGCGGTTCAGAGGACAGTAAAATTAAACCGGACAGACTGAAAAGAAACGCAAATCCAAAGCTTACCGACTTTCGCCGCTGTAATTCGGATAGATGTTCTGCTAGTATGTGCAGATTCCGAAGAAAACGTAGTATTCGCAGGTTAGTGGTTAGATTTGCCCTCGGAGTGGAAGGTTTTCTTCCACCGAGGTCGAATAAACGGGCTTTCGAGGAGGTCCATGCTGAATTAGTTAACGAAGACGCAGAAGAGTTCAGAGCATCGGGCGGAACTGTAATCGGGTAAGTCTAATTAGAAGAAAACAGTGATACAGCAATAAATATTGTGACTACGCATGAGAAAAGAAGAAGTCGCAAATCAGGTGAAAAACATCTTCTTACTCAAAGTCAGCTGTGCTCCTAAGCCGCTTTTGCTTTATTGCTAATGGTAATGAATACTTACTCTTTGGAAGAGTACTGTTTAAGGTGATAACTGCAACATTATAATTTCCGAGAAAAAAAGTGAAATGTACTTGTTGTTTGCGTTATCCTTCATCATGAATGTATCTTACTTCCTATCACTTGTTACAACTGTGGAATAGAGGACAGGAGGTGGTCCCAATGGAAGCATATTTATGCCAAAATTAATTCAGTTTAAATAGTCGCGCTTATTACATAAAAATTCCTTACGAAGCATAAAGATAATCCTTATTCCAAAACTACTTTGCCTTCCTTCAAATGCTGTAAATGCTGCTGAATAATATCGCTAGTTTTCGATTATTCGAGTGTTTTTTTGTGTAGTAAACTTAGATCCAGATATTTTCGAACAAACTATT